ATAGCCCCTGCCCCAAGAGAGAACAGTATCTCCACGTTTGTGTGCCAGCTGCACAGCTTCTCATGACCTTCCTACATGTTTCTGTGCCACAAAGGTCTTCCAATGTCAGCAATGTTTCCAAATTATTTGTTGAGATAGCCCTGTCTCACCCTGAGCAAGGGTGCTGTCACCTGTAGCCAGGGAAGTAACTGTATTATGCTGCTTTGTGCTACTTGTACGTGAAGGTGTCTTTGTGGCTTCCAGACCTGGGAACCTCTCTCTGTTTTGGAGCTATTTAATGGGCATATTCCCTGTGTCAGATGTAGTTAAGGGTGTTTCCATGTCCTCTGGCACAGCGTTTCCTTGTTATCTGTCAGGATACTTCTGTGACACCCATGGAGCATTTCTGTGTCTTGTGTCGAAGGTTTACGCTGAACATTGGCAGTGCGTACTCACTCGGCAGCCCCTCGGGAGGAGAGATGTTTCCTGTCACATGTGCAAGGCCAGTCCTGATCACGATGACAGCAACTGCGTGCTCTTGTGAGGGGGACAGTGACCGAGGCCATGGTTCACCTCTCAAGCTGTTTAAGATCCTTCTGATTTAAGAGAGAGGTGTCCCTGTGTTACAGGACCACAGAGATTCCCTCGCCAGTAAAAAGGGAACTGGGAAAGGTGATGATGGTTCCTTACGGTACAGCTAGCGCAGTTACCTAGGTGCCATCCCCAGACTCATCCTGCAGCTGAAGCCCTGCCTCATCGCAGCACCCTTTCCAAGAGCTGCTTTCTTGGCAAATGCCCACCCCTTAAGCTTTTACTCCTAGCACAGTTCTTCATCAGTTGAAGTGACTGTTGCCCACCACAGTGCCATTCCTCATGGGATCTGCTATTCTTTCCCAACCCAAATTTTCCATATGAGCCCTCCTTTCCCTTTCACTCACAGTCCTTTGATGGACCCCACCTCTTCCCCAAAGTCCTCCCTGCTCCTTACTCCACCTTTGCTCATAGCCACGCAGTTGTCAGCTTCTATACTTTGTGTATTAGGATATTTGAGGCTTCTCCTGATATTCCGCATCACAGAGTCATACACTTAGATGAGAATTGCAGCTTTGATCTAAACCAGACATAAGTGTCTGTCCCTTGCAGTTTCAGGGAAAAAATGAAAACGCATCCTCTATAGGTATTGACACCAGAAAACAAACACAGGGGATTTACAGTCTTTTGGTTTTGAAGATAATATAATGACCAATGACTGTGAATGTCTCAGTGTTAGCACCACAAGACACATAAATCTCTCTTTCAGGATCATCTCTGTGAAACTTTCTCAGCTTCATAAGCAAAACCCATATGCACAGCTCATATTATTGCTCTGTGAACTTTGGGGGTTGTGTGCTCTACCATTATTAAGTCCAACACTACTGCAAGCTGTTTAGACAAGGTCCACCTCGAGGTAGCCTACAGGCCTCTCTCAAAAGTTTCGTTTCTTTTGTAGATTTTAAAGCTTAGGCCATGGCAGAATGTCCCCCTGCCCCATATCCAGAAGTCCCACCTAAACTAAAGCATTGCCTTTCTCCTTACAACTTTTCCACCTCTCCCTATTTGCTTGCTTTGATCATTCTGATTTCTTATCTAACCCTGTTCCTTCTGTTTCTCCTCCCTTCATTCTTTTCTTTCATTTCCCACTCACTATACAGGTCCTTTCTTATCAGCTGGTCCTGAGTTTCCCAAATACACATACGCACTTATGTGCGTGTGCAGACACACACGCACACACACTGACACAAATAAATAAATAAATAAAAAGGTCAGTGAGCAGAGCAGCAATAACCCCTAAAACAGTACTATCAGAGGGACATGATTGATCAATTGAATTCCATAGCGGCTGAAAAATGTGGGATTAAGTAGTGTATTATACGCACAATGAGTTGAGGCATGATGTTCATTTCAAGTTCATTTCGCCAGCCCTCTGCCACCAGATCAGGCAATCAATAGGGGCAGCAGATATCATATATCACCTCTCTCCGTGCTAGGGAGAGAGCACCATAATCTCTCGCAAATTTAGAGTGACAGATTTGTCAAGATCTGAAGGGCCCCTGAATAAATGAAGGAAAAGAGACTCCTACAGCGACTTGGGAAAGCTGTGGTTTCAGCTTCTTCACACAAAGGCATGGCCTGTGCGCACACAGAAGACACGTGTGCACAGGGCTCTGCAGGCAGGCAGGAATTGCAAATACACGTGTATGTGTGCACTAATCTGTGTAACCACCCAGGGCAACTCACTAAGGGTAAAATCCGGTTTAATGACAATGGAAGTTTTACTGTATATGCAAACACCCGTCCACTCACACCAAACACCATGCACAGTGTAAGGCTGCCATCCTTGAAAATCAAACATAGCCTAAACCACACGGTGCAGACAAACAGCTGCTCTGGCATGTACAGTGATGCAGAATCTAAAGAATACCAGAATAACGATTTTGCAGAATAACTGCAAAAATACCCACGTGTATTAGCATCATGGTGTGTACAGTCATGCACATTGACTGACACACATAGAAAAATCCTCAAACAGCTTCACAGGCTGCAGCCAGGTTAAGACAAGCGCTGAGACAGAAACACACTTTTTTTTTTTTCCCCCTGAGACTGGACCCAGGAGTTCTGTGCCAGCTTTCTGCCAGGAGGATCAGAGAGAAGTGCCTATTGGAATTGGGAGCCTAAGCCTTGAGCTACCCTAGTCCTCCTGAAAGCCACCCCTACAGTAACAGCCGAGTCCATCTAAAACACAAAGACTGCACTGACACACACAATGTTGTGCAGTCTGCCAAGCCTTGTCTTTGCACTGCTTTCTCTTAGTCAAATCTGTCATGAACTGCAGCTTTCAGGAACTTCAGAATTTTACCTTGTGCAAAAAAGCCCAAGGAGAGGAGAAAATGCCAGGGATCAGTGCCAGTGAACAGCCCTGCTCTGGCTAGGGGTGGAAAAGAAAGAGAAGGGGCTGCTTGAGGGAAGGCTGCTGGCTGGGACAAATCAATATGTAATATTTTCTATGGTCTTGTGAGTGGTACTGTACTACGTTACTGTATATAATGTACTATTGATTATATCATATCATATAATCACCTATAAACGGATATATCTCATAGCCAGAAGGCAGCAGGCTCAGTTATAACTCTGGGCCACCAGCTGGGCATTAACTGTGCCAGGAAAATACCCATCTTGGCACCATCCACGAGCTAAAAGATGAAGCGGCAGAGTGGCATGGTTCTGGCTGTTGCACAGTGAATGCCACTCCAGGCTCCTGGGAGCATCATCTGCCCATGAGCACACTCACAATCACACAGAGGAGGGAAAAGGTCCATACAGATCCCCCAACCACTTTCTTGACAGGCAGCAAAAGTTTCTGAGATTCACAGCCTGGAAGCCACTAAGAAAGGCTGAAGTATGAGGAACAGTAGTGAAAAAGCAGGAAGGTAATCACAGCATAAGAGGGAGAACCTGATTTTAAGTTAGGCAGGCTGATAAGACAGTCAGACTTGTGTCTGATGAAGCGCAGTCGGCAGAGATTCAGCATGGAGGGTATGGAGGTATATCAGCAGGGATGAGACAGGGGATTATAACCGATCTCACCAAAGTTAGGCTGAGAGGTGACAGCAGAAAGATACTCAGCACAGTTGGAGAAGATTATAATGAGCAGACTTTCCTCAGATGAGATGAGGGATTATGACAAAGGAAGATTCACTTCAGCTGGGACAGGAGGTTATAACAGACAGACTCACCTTGGATGTGACAGATGCTAATAGCAGGAGACTCACTTCAGATAAAAAGGGGTTATAACCGAGATAAATGCACCTCATCTGAGTTGGGGGATAACAGGGAAAAAAAACCCAACCAAAACCCAACAGGTGGGTGATAAGATGGTTTATCACAGGGAAAGATTCACTTTGGATGGGGCAGGGTGTTTGTGACAGACTCACCTTGGAGGGGATGCATGGGCTGTAAGAGATGGGGGATGGCACAACAGAGATAGAGACACCTGGAACGTGGCAGGAGGCACTACAGTGAGACTGGACTCTATCAGAGGGCTGTTGTAGGGACAGAGATGCACTTCTGGTGATTCTTGCACCAGAAAAAGGCTTTTTTCCTAGTAAGAACAAAGGAATACTAAGAAGGCTGATTCCCACTGAGTAGGACTAGTCTTTGTAATACAATAATTAATTTTGGATAGGAAGGGGGACTCACACAGACAAAGATGCATCTCATTTTGGAGGGAGTTTTATAACAGAGATATGGATTGTGATAAAGCACAAGCTATATTGTAGGAGAATGGGACAGAGATCATAACAGAAACCAACGTATGTTGGATGGGACAGGCACTCCCCAGGGAGAGACTTGTTTCTGGTGAAAAATGGAGTCAGAAACAGGATCATTCCTGTTACCTGAGAGGGATGAAAGATTCATCTGGGGTACGATAGGACAAGATCGGATGAGAAGGAAATTGTAACAGAGATATAACTATTGGGACCAGGGAGCTACATCAGAGACTGACTCCCTTTTGAGCTGTAAGAGAGCCCTTTCTCCATTCCAGGCTTCCTCAGCCCTCTCCAATACAAGTCCATCCTCAGCACTCTGGTTTCTCTGTGAGCTGCCTCTCCAGTAGCCTTCTAGCGATGCTAATCGCTGTGCTTTGCTCCCATTTTATGCTCAGCAATGGAGATTTGGCAATTTTTAACACTGAAAATCAGCGGAACCGAAACTCATCTCTGAGCCGAGCACCATTCTCCACAGCCTCACTCACTCTGGGCAGGAGAGTCCCATGGAGCCCACGGGAGCAGCCCGGCCGCTCCAGCAGACAGGAGGGGGGTTCCCTCGGGTCCCCACAGCCTCCCCTTCCCACAGGAGTGGCACAGCTCCATGGGTGGAGGCGGAGGGCCCCCCTCTTTCCCACTCTGTCCTTGTACTGCATCCCTTGCTGATCCAAGCCAGGGTGGTGCTAACTCCCTGTTTTCTCTGTCTGTGCCCTGCAGATGTATCCGAGGGCTCAGTTCCCAACGGAGATTCCCAGAGCAGCGTGGACAGTTTGCGGAAGCACCTTCGTGGCGACACTTTCACCCAGCAGCAGCTGGAAGCTTTAGATCGAGTTTTTGAGCGTCCTTCTTACCCTGACGTCTTTCAAACATCAGAGCACATCAAATCTGAGCAGGTGAGGGCCCAGCCTGGTAACGGGGACCCACAGGCACCCATAGGATGATGGCAGGGAGATTCCGTCACTGAAATCACTCTTCCCTTCCTCACCCCTTGTTCTCACACTGAGCTGTTACATACATTACACTTACATTTTACAGCACTTTCTAGTTGTAAATAGATCACTGTGCTGATGCACGCTCATACACGAGCTCTATCTCCTCTCGTGAACTTGCCGTATACATGCATACTGTGCTCTCCCTAAATCCCCACGTCCGCCTTTCCCTCTGCACGCTCACCTGCAGGTATGCAGTCTTGTTCTTGCCATGATCACGCAAACACTGCCATGCATGTCCACCGGCACACAGCACGGCACGGAAACTCCTGCACTCTCAGATCACGCTGGTGACCAGTGAGCCACAGGGTCGGGCTTTAACACAGCATTTTCCTTCATGGCCCAAAGCTGAGACTTGACTCCCATCTCCAACCCAGTTTTCTGCACTTCTGCAGCTCTGCCCCCCTTTCCCTTACTCCCCTGCTTCCCCGGCCTTTTATCCCCAAAGCTGTTTGTCTTAATAAAATTAAAATCAAAAGTCTTTTTAAACCGCCCCAACCATAAACCAACAAAGGAAGAGAAGGAGAGGCTGGCTGTGGACTCCCTTCATCCCAGAGTCCCTGGGTTTATTACAATGAATAACCTTTATTTACTTTCATTAGACTATTAAGCACCAGCACAGTCATTTTTCCCCCTGAAACTCTGAGCAGGGCCCATAAAGCAAATCCGAAGCCTAATTGAGTTCATTTTAATTTCTCTCCGATCACAGCGAATTACTCTGGTGATAAATCAGGGGGCAGGCTCACCCCCAGTAGAAGGCCTAATTTGCAGCTAATTACAAAACTGATTTCTACAGGAAGATCAATACGAGAAGGAATTGGAAATGACTAGGCAGTCCTAGCCAAGCAGGGACAGGGGCGGGGAGGGGGCAGTGTGCGGGGAGCACACT